CAATTTTCAAGTAAAACAAAGCCAAACGAATACAAAAAATTTTACTATTTTTTTTTTTCTTTTTTGGCTACCCAAACTAATTATATCCCCTATTTTAAGAAATTATATCCCTTTAATTGACAATTTTCATAAAAAAATAAAACCAAACGAACACCAAAAGATAGAAAATTTCAACATTTTTCAAATAGAAAATTATAACAATTAAACACAATTAATTAACAATTTTCAGTAAAACAAATTTTAGGCAATTCAATTTCCTGCAATTCGTTTTCTTTCCACCTAAATTCCATCTTTGAATCAAACAGGCCCTAATTTCAAATATTTGAGAATTTGGCCAAGTTTGCAATTATCTAAAAGTTGAGGGGACTAAATTGCACTTTTGAGAAAATATTCAGGAACTTAGAAAAATAATGTCTAAGTACGATTAAGGTCATGTTTGTTTCGGATTAAAATCAGATTTTAATCTAAATCAAAGTTAAACAATCAATATTAACCACATCTTTCATGGGTCTCACAACTTTTTCAACCACACATTTCAAAAACTTCTATCATAATTTACTAAAAATCTAATTTTAATCCATACCAAATACCCACTAAGTATTATTTAAGCATGAAAAATAATAATTTGGGCTTTATTTTAAGTTGGAAATTTTTTGCCTTGGAGATCCACAAAAGCCGAGGCCTAGTCACCTAGACCAATTCCATCCCAAACTTAAGCCCAAGAAAACAAGGAAAGAATTGAGCCAATTAACTTCATGAAAGGTGTGAGAAATTGCCAACTTAAGCGGTGAAATTAAGAAGAAATTCGATAAAGGGGACGATGATGAAGAAACTTGGCACCTTCCTACCTTTTGCATTCGGCCAACCTTAAAGCTAAATTCATTTCAACACATTGTCAATTAGACTTCACAAATAAAATCTAAATAATTAAGGACACGTCTAACGAAGTGTTTATAAATAGAAATGTTTATAGACACAAGTAAATGAATGGTTAAGAAATATGTAATACTTACGGATTCTATAAAATGTGTGTATAAAAAAAGATGTAATCAGAATTGTTTTTTGACCAAAATTTTTATAAACGCTTAAAAGCAATGAACGGAAGATAGGCTAAGATAATTATACGACTCCCTCAAAAATAAATACCCCTACCCATCTCATTCGGAGTGAATTGTCTAAATAGGCACTGAACTTTACGTAATGCGTCCAATTGGTCACTGAACTTTAAAAATCACCCAAGTGATCACTGAATTTTGCAAAACGTTTCCATTAGGTCACTGAAATTTAAAAATCACTCAATTCATCACTGAACTTTGCAAAATGTTTCTCATAGGTCACTAATGCAGTGATTTCCTAGGCAACATTTTGCAAAGTTCAGTGATCTCGCAG